TCCAGCCCAAGCTGAAACCCCTGCCCGCAGTTCTGTCCCCAGTGGGAACAGGATACCCCAGTAAACTTTTGTGAGCCACTCCAGGAAATTAGAGTGACTTCTTCCAGCCAGCAGCCAGGCCAGCGGGATGAACAAGCAAGGAGCAGGTCCCACTTAGTGGCTGGAGGGAGATGGGAAAAAGAACCTGTGGCCTAAGTTAGATTGAAACAACTGCTGCCCTTGAGACCACCCTGCCCCTTCCCAAGCTCCTTGCACTCATGATGCCAACAGTATCAGGACTGGATGACTCACTTGAGTCCAACACAGATGAGGGAACGAAGCTTCACGTCCATCTGTGCATGTGCAGCATCGTGTGTCATGTTCACAGCCTGGACCGCCTGCAGGGCGGGAAGAAGTGGTTATCACCTTCTCAGCTCAGCCTTAGGCTGGGCAGCCATTTCAGGAACACAGACAAATGCTGCCCTCCCCAGAGCTCCTCACCGTCACCCAGTGCCACCAGCTAGCATCAGAGGGGCCAAGCCTTCCTGATGGCTTCACCTTCTGCCTTTTCCCAGGCACTCAGTGTCTCTACTCATTCTCATCAGGGAAGGTCTGAGAGACTCTCGAGCATCCCCCCAGAGATGAGCCTCACCTTCCATAGGAAACTTCCCCACATTAGGAGCTGGGTTCTGGCTGGGCTGGGGGCAGCACTCACCCGGTAAAGCAGCTCCTCTGGAGTGAGAACTTTGCCGTCTTCATCAAGCCTGCAAAGATCACAGCAGACCTAGCTAGCTCTGGAGCTACCCCAGGCACATGCAGACCCCTCCCTCCATACCCCAACAGCTCTCTTGCTACTGCTGAGCCCACAGGTGATCCTGCAGCCATAAAAGACCAAGACACAGACCCAGAAGCAAACACAGGACCCCAGGGAAGGGGACAAGAGCCACTGCCAGCCCCAAGTCAGCACAGGAGCCTACTGACTCCACACCCACGGAAGGATGGGGCAGACGGTGACCTTTCCCAGGTGGAGAGCAGCAGCAGTTAGATGAGCACACAGGAGCAGGGCACAGACCCAGCTGCTTGGTATGCATCAAGTGGCCTTACCTGTAAGTCTTGCAAAGCACAAGGCGAGAATACACAGAGTCAAAGTCCCGTTCCACTTCCCGGCTTGCAGCCTAGCAGGGCAGAGGGACAGTCAGTGCACTCTGCCCTACAGCCCCTCACCCCAGCCCTCTGGCAACACTGCCCCACGAAAGGAACCGAGACATCTCACCTCTTCAATGAACAGCCAGGGATGGCAGGGCCCCCCCAGCAGAGATGGCTTCTTCAATCCATGTTCAAATATGGACTTCAAGGCTGGACACAGCGTCCCTCGCACCAAGTCCGTCACCCCTTCTGTCACTGAGTCATCTCCAGCAATGGAGTACTGAGGAACATGGAGAGCCAGCTCTCAGCATACTGGTGAAGGGGCAGAGCATGGAGGTGGACTGCTCATGGACAGCTTCTCTGCACACACCTCTTCCACTCCCAGATGCAACCAACCCCCTCCTCCTTTAACCCCTTACGCTCTTGCTGGCTTTTGCATAAGGCACCATGTTCAGTGCTACTCCCCTGGGATTTGTGGGAACACCTTTGTGCCTAGGTGCTGCCCAGGAGACCACACAGGTGTCCCCAGCACCATCCTGACTGTTTGGCATGTAGGAACTGCTGCAGTTTGATGTGATGCTGACTGAGCTAAGGTAAGTTCAGGGACTTGCACTGAGGGTCTCTGGGACTTTGTAATCTGCTACAAGTCAAAACAAGAGGGGGTAGATGGGAATTCCCAGGGTCAGTTGGGACACCGCTCTGAGGTATCACCCTGACACAGTTAACACGAAGGACTGAACAGTAATATGCCAAAATCAGAGTAAGTGGGATCCTCCCTATTTCCACAGTTGAGAGAAGAACTGCTCAGGAGTATGGGGTGTGTTTGTTGACAGAGACTGATCTGCATCTAAGGAACCAGCCCTGAGAAGGGGGTGAGGAAGTGAGTGAGATGTCACTACTGACAGCTGTCTAGGGGCTTCTCTTGGGGTCTTGGGTCAGCCTTTGAGCCCTTCCTCACTCACCAAATGCTGAGGGGGAGAGGGAGAACAGGGCTTTCTCCACTTCCCCTGCAAACTGTCTAGGCCAGCAGCTGATGACGCTTGTCTCCTATCCATCACCCCAGCCTTGGGGCCATACTGAGGTCTCTGCTCTAGACAGGTGGCATCTCACCACTGCCGGTTGCAAGAGGAACTGAGACCGGGTGCCCTCTCAGGCACAGCTGCCTGGGAGAATCCACTGTGGTGACCACAAAGGCACAGCCTCAAAGGAGGAAGAGAGCGCAGGCAGCAGGGAGCAGGCAGAAACACTGCCCACAGGATCCTGCTCTGTACTTGCCCACTGCTCTCTCAGCTTTCCCAAAGCTCATCTCTAGGCTCCTTGCAAGCCCAGGCATCATACTCAGCTACCTCCTGCAGCCCTCTGGGGCCCTCATCCTCCACTTGGTCAGCATGAAGAAGTTGAGCAAACAGGCTTAGGAAGATAAGCTGCCTGATCACATCACTAAGCACTCAATAGCCAGAAAGAGCAAACAGACTCAAGGAGGGAAATATGGCTCTTTTCAACTATGATTATTCACCGATAATGTGACTCCTTTTTTTTTTTTTTTAGTGGTGGTTGTGGTTTTTTTTAATTACCTCTTTGCTCCTCTCATCCAAGATCTCCACAAATTTTGCAGGAAACCAACCTACAAAGAGTGGACAGAAGTGAGCCTGACATAGACGCTGAGAAACTGCTAACACAGACAAGACCAGAGCCCAATGGAAGCTGAGAATAAATCAGAGCTCATAGGGTCCAACCCCAAAGAAGGAAGCAAGCAGCCTCAAAATCACAAGAATTAAGGTAACTGCAAGATGAAGCCAATTACAGGATGCTGCCCACAAGCAGCAGAGATGACATGTACCCAACCACCTTGTGCCAGAAGGGTGGAGCTTAAATTTGCTGTTTGCAAGAAGTACCCAGACAGCTGCACCGCTGCTCTCATACCCCGCCTTAGCATTTGCCTTGTCCCTGGCAGATGCTTCGGGTACCTGGCAGAGCCTTTGCCGCAAATGTGCCAGAGCAGTTGCTGTGGATGAACGGATGCTCTGCATCTGGCCCCACTCTCCCCAGTGCAACCCCTCCTGCTCTCACCTCTCAGTCCATTCAGCTCTCCAACCCAACAGTGCTCATCCTTCTGGGAAATTATCTGAAAAACAGGGAGTGGAAAACACTGGTTGAAGAGAGGGCAGTGACAGGAGGGCTACAGCTGCCCAGCCCTGTGTGCACAATGAGGATCTGCTTTCTTCTCAACTGTTTTGCCAATGTTCTCTTCTCATGTGGCCCAGGGCCTTCAAGGGCAAAAACCTTCTGCAAACACAATGGTGCCCCTGTCTTCCCACTTTCAGATGGGATGCCTGCAGCTCAAATGCAAATGGATGCTTTTGCACTGTTAGTATACAGTGTTAAACTGGGACCCAGGCTGAACCAAATCAACCTTTGCTCAGCTGTATGGCAGCCAGGAAAGGGGCTTGGTGGTTGCATTGAGAATGACCCACAAGACAACACTCACAGGAACATACTTGGTCATCCACAGGCAGCCTCCAGAAACACCAGCTGCCTCCCTTAGACTCCTAACTGGGCTCTGAGCTGATCTCCTCCCTGCTTTCCCTGCAGAAGTGGCAGTGCAGAGACCCAAATAAGCTGAGTCTGCATGGTCTTGCACTGGTCCCTGCCTCCTAGGCTGACGCACCGTAATGATGTCATTCTTGCGAAAGCCCAGCTCATCGTCATCGTGGCGCTCAAAGTCCAGTAGTGCCTTGGCTCGTCGTCGTCGGTTGCGGGAACAGGCCACATAGTTCTCATGGTCCCGCTGGTGGCTCTCCATGCTGTAGTCTGGAGTCAGATCCTAGCATGCATGTGGGTGAAGAGCAAAGAGGAGTGAAAAACAACAGATGAATCCCAGCTGATCTGCCAAAGCTTGTGTGCCCCTGTTCCCAAACCTCTTCTTGCTCCTAGCAAGCAGACAACCTCCCAGCACAGCCCTCCTCCACCAGGGAGGGGTTGAGCAACCCTCATCCTCCACCGGTAACACCTGGCATGTTCTTCCTTGAGCCCACACTCCAGGAGCATTTGAACAGCCCTGACCCGTGGTGGACGCTCGACACTCATGCCTGGAACACTCAGCAGTGCAGATCCAGCTGTTCCCACTCACAATGCTGCAGTTCTTGGGATCCACACACTGGAAGTGCCGTGCCACCTGGAGAATAGCTTCACGCAGGTCAGCCACCAGCTCCGTCTGCTTGATGTTCTTGGCTTTCAGTGCCTCCAGATCATCATCCCCTGGGGGAGCCCACACAGTCAGAGGGAAGGCGAGGAAAGGAAAACAAGTATAAGGTATTTATTTCTTTGTTAGCATTAGAAATAATTGATTCTGCAGAAATGAAAAAAGCCTGACAGTAGAAGTGCCTACACTAAGGCAGGTTCTTATTGCCAGTCTATTCAATAATGTAAATAACCAATACCAATCTGAGTGTCTCAAAGGAGCTGGTATTTCAAACTGCATATGGAACTGGAAGATGCCATCTTTGATCTGTCTGGACGATGCAGTATACCAAGGTACTGTGTACTGCTTTAGAGAAGTGTCTACGCAGTACACAGCTGAGCGGTGGAACACAGAACTAGAGAACTTTCAAAAATTCTCTTCAGCTGAAATTCTCTTGAAACTGAAACAGCTTCTGGTTGAACTACTTCCAATTTTTGCATACCTCACAGGCTGAGGGCATCTTCTTCACTGAGTCTTGAAAAAGATTTGAAAAACCAAGACAGACCACTTTCCTCTGTCAGTCTAGAAGTCAGAGCCACAACACAAAAGCCTCCATCTACTTAAGACCTCAACCTCCCTAGGAGCCAGATTTCAAAGGTTCTGGGTGCATAGAAATGGTCATAAGTACAAAGTAAAAGTTACCAAAGCATCTTTCAACTGTTACTAATTCCCCCAGGAGTTCTGACAGCCTATCTCTATTAACTTATGCAGAAAGATACCTAATGGGATAGATTCTTTAGGCAGTTAATGTATCTGAATGCTGTAAAAATTGGGTACATGATGTTTGGGAACAGTGAACCATTTCCTTCTCTTTCAAAAAAAAAAAGAAAAAAAAAATCAGTTTGTTTTCACTTCAAAGTGTATTTTCATACATCTAATTTTGCTCTCTATAATATATTGAAGATGTGGTAGTCTACGGAAATCAACATATAAAACAATGTATTTTTTACTGAACTCCAATTTTTATACAAACACAGCTTTTATGCAAGATCCAAGTCAATAACCAGCTAGCAAATCAGTACTCTGCTTATCTTCTAACAGCACTACAGAAAGCCATATGAATAAAGTGTGGCCCAAGCTATACAGCTTCTGCATCAGCTATGTACCCATGAAGCTTCTGCTTATTACAAAGTGATTAACAGTATATTTTAATCACAAGTAATCCTAATTAAAAAGACCAAAACTTTAAGAACATAAAAAGAAGCACAAAATTAGATTTTAAAATATTTTTGTAATTGTTTTCTATTTGCTGAATTAAATTATTAGAGAATCAGACATACAGAGCTTAAGAGGAAGCTGAACTTTGCTTCTGGACTAGAAAAATTGTAGGGATACTTACTCCCAGCTCAAGCAATGAAAATTAACAAAACCTCCTTCTCAGTGGCCAGGGGTAGGAAATAGAGCATGTAAGAAGTCTCACTCCAGATTCAGAGATACAAAGATTGTAAATAGACAGGAGATCACGCAGACAGCGGGGATTCCCAGAAAATTGTGTTGCTAAAACAGAATGTGACTGAAGAAGAAACTACTCAACCACAGCCACACTAGCTCGGTGGGCTGCCCTCAATTACATACATCACTGATTCTTCCTGTCATCATTCAGTCCCCTCTGACCAAAATACTGTACTCTTCCTCTGTACTCAGATCGACACCATCCAAACACAAGCAGGAGATAGGGGAAGCAAGTTCCACATCCTCCCACCTTAGAATATACACGAATCAGAGGAAAGCAACTGGGCTTTCCACCAGATTTACCTCACTGCACCCAACAGGCCTGCTTTCCAAAACAGGAAACCAGTGCAGGATCAGCCACATGTGAGGAGGCTGTATTCTGAGCCTGCAAAGACTGACTGGTTGCACAGTTGTGCAGAGGAGAACTAGCTCTCCTGCATTTCCTTGTTGCAATGTCCATCCAACAGGAAAAGGGCAACATTTGTCAGAGAACATCTTATTCTCTGCCAAACTACCTTTCACTGTTTCTTCTTTCTATTCCTTCATTAGAAAGCAGGTCCAACTGCTTAAATCTCAGCTAGAGAAAGCCCTGGTTGACCTGATCTAGCATGAGCAAGAGTCTGGCTTTGAGCAGGAGAGGTTAGACTACAGACAACTAGAGGCCCCTTCCAAATAGTGCTCCTGTGACTCTACAACTCCTGTCCAAGCCACTACTAAGTCTGCATTCACTGAAAGGAAACAGAATTAAGTTCTGGGTAAGTTCTTACTCCCAAGCAGATGAGGGCTATGTGCCAGCTCTAAATAGTAACTATCACAGGCAGCAGACTTTACACATAAGGTTGATTGACGGTTCCCAATATAAGGTGAATTTATCACATCCCAGCTTTCCTTCCCCTCACTTGGGCTAAAGTTTTCCATTCTGGTCATCTGTTGCAGGATGATAACTTCTCTATTTTAACCAATGTTTTAATTACTAAGAATATTAGATAAAACCATGACAGTCACTGTCCAGAAACCCCACTAAAATAAGAAAGCACTATTAATCATCTGAGTTCTGCCACTGATACATTTTGAATCTTAAACTTAAAATTTATCATTGTGTTGTGGGTATAACTCACTATCACCTTCATAAAGCTACTCAGACTGGGTCAAGGAGACTGAGACACAAGAAAGATGCATTTTGGCAGCTAAGTTCCCTGCCAGTTCAGTCTGTACTGACTGCATAACAATACATACAAGAAGTCTAAGTTTAGGTTGCACAAGCAACTTTCCTGCATTTCTTCACTTCTGCATGCTTGACTTTACAGCTTCACTAGTCTTCTACCATAACTTTTATATGTAATACTGCATGTGCTTGCAGCAAGCCTGTGACAACACATCATCCTCCTGGACAACATCAGAAAGGCTCTTCTCTGAAAAGACCAGTAAAACCCAGTTTTAGATTTATTCAGGCCATTTAAACCTCAACAGGAGCACTATTTGAACCCTGTACATTCAGTATGTTGTCTTCCTCCGGAAAAACAATTTCTGTGGTGAGATGTGGCAATTTCAAGAAAGCAAATCAGTTGCAAGGAAGGTGATGGCAGTGAGGCTTACAATAGAAAGGGGTATTATGGAGTCACAGAAGCAAGTTACTTTTAAACCCATGCAAAACCTATTCTGGCTGTGTGCTTTCTGGACATATGCTGGCTTAGCCCCTAAGTGAAGAAAACTAAGACTTAAAAGTGTTCACATGGAACTCTCAGAGTAAGGGGGAACATCAGTGATGTCTGCATTTATAAATTTTGATGGGTGACACACTGGACCATCCTGCCCTGTCACAGATCTTCACAGATGTTCCTGAACTGAGTGAGAGGAGATCAGGAGAGTACCAGATCCAGCCTGTGGACTGGACACAGTCTGCCAGAAAATGTGTTTGACCTTTTGATCAGGGCAAGAAGGACATTACAGCTGGGCTGAGCTGGAGTCTGCTGTTAGTAACCATTCAAATGCTAACCATCTAACCTAAAATTCACTTTCTGAGCTCAGACCAAAGCAGTCAAGTAGAAAACTGCACTTCTTCCTTCTCATCCTTCAGTTCTGGCTCCATCCTCTCATCTTCCTCTGTCCCACTGCTTCACTCATTCCCCTCCCTGCTAGGCTGCTATATCCATCAATACCACATGAAAGGCACAGGATTGTCCTTACCAAAAAGCAGAGAGGTGATGCCAGATTTCCTGCGCTGAGTCCTGCGCCGCACAACCTGAGGGAGAGGGAAGAGAGAGAACAATGCGCAAACATTAGGACAGATTTCAGAAATAAAATAAAGCAATCCTCCACACAGGTCAGCTCTGAGCAAGAAGTCCTGACAGCTACCACTGGAAGGGGCAGGCAAGTCAACTGGCAATTTTAGACAGGAGTTGTTCTAGTTCTAATGCAATGAATGAGCTCTGCTTGATCTGCTCCATGTGCAACATGTTATTTATAGCTCAATTATTATGAAAGTATAATTGAAGTTCAAGAATCAACCATGATTCAAGTGAACAATTTTAGTTCCAATTCTATTTGTTGTCAAAAGCAGTTCTACACATTATTATATATAAATTTCCAAGTGGACTCCTACTGCATTTTAGAATTGCAGGAGTGTCTTGTGATTATGTCCTGGTTTTGCTAGGGTAGAGTT